CTTCGATCATTGACGTATAATTTTGTGCACTCGAAGACATATTTTTTATGTGCATCGATTCCATCATTCATGATTTTATTTAACTTCTAGCAATAAGACAGCTAAACACTTTGTTAGACTATAACCTTTCGATTCCGGTTGCTGCTGACGACTAAAAGATTAATTCCACACACTACATGACGTTTCCAATTACATGTACTGATTATCAGTTGTGATTTGAAGTCAAACCCATTTTTACCGCAGCAGCTATTTACAATAATCGTCTGCGACAATTTAAAGCTTATTCCGACCATTGGTTAAAGCTTTAAAGGGTTATGGAAATCGGGACAGTAATACTGAAATTGCATATCGAATGGCTACAGAAAAGATTAATGCGGACACTTAATTCATTTCCAATTCAAAAGAGAACCAAATTTCTCTATCCAGTAAGTTGATAGCAATTATCTTTCAAACATGCTATATATCATCTGAGTAGAATTTAATGTTTTTGAGGAAAGTGAAAGTGGTTCCAGTGTGTCATTTACTAACTGTTGCAATATAGCTCTTACTAACACGCTTGGTGCGTCAGTCCTGTTGAGTGATGGCGTTCCACTATTTCAATAAACGAACAACATCTCCAATCCCCTTGCAACGAAAATTGACAAGTGAGATATCCGAAAATGTCCTCGCAAAGTGTAGTGATACGTACCACCACAGTTATCCACATGTACATCCATGCCACCAATGAGCTAAGATCATCCTGTAGTACCATTCTATCTGACAAACTGTGTATGGATCTCTAAATCTTTATGTCATCGGCGAAGAGTAGAGCGGAGTATTGGGCTACAGTTGACAATTCGTTGTCATAATGTAAAAAGAGAAGAAGATTGTTCCTTGGGGAACTCCACTTTTTACATGTTCCTACGAAAGAGCTCCACTTACCCTCCCCCTTTTCTACTGTCATGGAGAAAGTTACTTATCCAACCTACGACTGAATAATCGATTCCGAAACATTCCAGTCTGAATTTAAGACTACAATGGGAGGCCTTATCGAAGTCTTCATTTAGATCTTTGAAAATCACATCTACAGGAATACTCCGATCTTTTGCCGCAGCACAATCTCTTTTGCAATGAAAAGATTCATTAAGCATGATAGGCCTCTCCGAAAACCATGTTGTTTCCTGGATAAAAGATTATGCCCTTCAACATAGTTTATAACAGATAATCGAATGAAATTTTCCATCAGTTTTACAACTGCACTGGTTAAGCTAACGATCCTGTAGTTACTAACTAGATCCCCATTCCCAGCCATATACACCAGAGTTATTATCGCGTCTTTCAGTCTCAAATAATGCCTACTTTTATGTCTACATACATATCAGATATTTGACGCCACATTACCGGAGTATTGTTAGCGAATATGTTCATCTCATCTATTCGTTCACCAGTATAACGGCATGTTGCATCATCCAATACTCGTAAACAGTACTGGATTACTGGGATTCATATTCTGCTCCCGCGACACTCCACAGCAGAACATAGAGTTTAGAACTAGTCTCTCAAGGACCCACTTGTTCCTCACAACCAATGAGTTTCACTCGCCTGTCATGAACAATCGTATGAACTGGTATTTTTGTCATGCATTAGTACGGTTTCGTACCAAATGAGGTCGCGCGCATATCACTCAAACGACATAAATCACTACAAGCTTCATGACCATAAATGAATACGACTTCGCATATCTCGCCTCTATAGTCACTATTCTGCTCCCTGTTAATTCATCTAATTCATGTTCAACGATAACTCGATGCACCTATTTATGATGCGAATTCTCATTTAACTATTATTATCAAGTGCAGTACAGCAACGAACATCACACATCATTACAGTTATCATTTTACGGCTGGATTATTTTTATCCCACATAAACTCCATTTGTGTGAATTCGAATACAATAATTGCTAATCGACGCTACCCACTCTACTATTACTTATTAGAACATCTTCATACTTCACGATCCTCCATCCTCATATTCAGTCGCCACAACAGACAAATTCACGTTATATTCAACCTCACTTATTTTCATGATTGATTCCGCCGGTATACCCATAAGTGGTTTATTATTCTGTTTTCACGCTATTTCAAATTTCTCACACGAATATGTTATTTTATTCGTTGTACAGTCACGAGTTAAATGTATGTTAATTTTTGGTACACTTAATGAATTCCTCATAATCGTATGCCAATATTTCAGCTGTTGTCCCGGTTTTCAGACACTCTCGTGACTTTTCACAGAGTAAGGACAATTTCACATAATACACTCATCACACACATGAACAAATTAGGAACAAGTTACTTTCTCAACAAAATCATAGTGAAAGACATATCACTTGAGTGTCTTCTTCTAAAACAGCTATTTTCGAAATAAATCTGTTTTTTTACAAAAGGCCATGCATTTAAATTGGTCATTTTATAGCGTATTCAACATCAAGCGACGAGCAGGTCGACAAAAATGATCGAAATCATCGATGTAAAAATGAAAGGCTACTAAAGCAAGACAGTGAGGATGGTTGCACACACATACAAATGGTATTTTTCAACGGCACGATCCACTTCGATCGACCGATTTTCCGTCATTCGACTCATGATACACACATATAAAGGGTGTGCATTTAGTAATAGTAATCGAAATATTGTGTATTCTATCAGATTCACCGGATTGAATATATAATTAAATGAAAGCCATCATCCAGAAGATACAGGTGTTTATTAACAGTTGTTTATGCAAAATACTTCGGATCCGTTGGCCAGTCACTATCAACAACAACCAACTGTGGGAGAGGACAAATCAGATCCTAGAGGAGGAAGAAATCGGGAAGAAGCGCTGAAAGCGGATAGGGCACACATTGGGGAGTGCATCAAACTGCTCACATGAAACCCTCAAGGCCAAAGGAGGAGAGGAAGACCAAAGAACACATTACGCCTAGAAATGGAGACGGACATGAGAATAATGAACAAAAATTGGGTGGATCTAGAAAGGGAGGCCCGGGACAGAGTGAGTTAGAAAATGCTGGTCTGTGGCCTATGCTTCATTGGGAGTAACAGGCATAAGTAAGTAAGTAATTGAGTCGTCAGAAACAAGTGAATCATTGGAACTAGCGATGCTTGTTGCAGTAACAAGAAGTTCATTAAGTAGAAACCTTTGTTTCACAATCATTCTGAGTGTAATTTAAGGATGGACTGCTATATGACTATATACTACTTTTCGAAATCGTGAATAACGATCAATAATCATTGTAAGCACCCAGTATAATAGGATCAGAATTACAAAGCTTATTGATACTTGCAGAGAAAAGGATAGTAGTTTTACAAACTGCCTATACGTGTCCAATTTTATCAAATTTAAAGCATCTAGCTTTACGAAATACACGCACACCACATGGCTGAAATTTGGATTCATTCGCAGTAGGCTTCTTTACCAATCGATGTCAAGTAATGAGCCACAATATTAATGTCCTCAACATCTTCTTTCTTCATAGTCCACATATCAAACCTATCCATATAATCCTCAAAAGCATCAAAATTTGAATGTATGTTCAACTGTTAAATAACACACTTCGACGTGACACTGATGTGATGATTATAAGAATTTGATTTGTTATACGAACTAAGAATCAACGAAACGACGCAATTTAGACCAAACACAAATAGGTGAACACGGACAAACCTATTGTATTTGGAATCTGAAATCAGGCAGTCATCAAGTACAAAGGAGTCTTAGCTCATACTAACAACACAAACCTTCTAATTGTATGCATTCACAAATACGATTTGTTGAATTGGGAATTCTGTCTGATTCACCGGATTGAATCTTACATTAAGCCAAGATCTATCACTCCTGTCACTTCCTATAGCATTTACAAGGTGAAGATTATTATTTTCTAATTCAGTGTAAATTACCTTAACAAAAACGTATTTCTGTTGACCTCAGTTGTTCACAGAAATATCAATGATTATACTTTGTTGTCGTTTATCACCGCTATCCATCTCATTGATCAAATAATATGGTATTCTATATTCTCTATTATGTATAATGGACCTGATATGAATGTTAATTAGAATATAAAAAACATCGCTTTCTAATTAAAACTTGTTTGTTTAACTGATGATCAGCCACACGTACAGAAAAAGATGAGTAAAATTCTCATTTCACAAAAGATCACCACTTTTCTGAAAAGAAAATTAAGTGAAAACTAATCTTTTGCCTGTCAATTCACAGAAGGTATTGCTTCAGCTATGAATAAACACTGTAACCATTCAACATCGAATTCCAATTGAGTTTTGTGGTCGTTCTCTCATACAATCATCTAGTTTCCACGTTCGTACTACTATGTTAAGTTTGTTCTTCTTGCTCTATTCAAACTCAACTATTCACTGAAATATCAATCAATTGATTAATTTGCAGATCAGTCTTTTGTGACCTGAAATTTGGTAAGCTCATTCAATTCCACACATTAGTCTGTATCAAGATTGAGAAACATTAGATAATTCAACAAAGTCACGAAAAATAGGATGATGCTGATTGATCAATGTCAAAGATAGAATTCGATCTGCAGCAAGAAGGACCTGATCCACTTAAGATAGATCACTTATCACTAATTGTGAAAGCACGATAATGACAGGATGTACCTCTTTTGTAGACATAGTTCTGGTTTGAGCTAATGGATTGTAAAAGCTTCGGTTAATTTTAGAAGTTGGATATCTACAAATCTATTTAGATATGAACGAATCTCAATAAACACTAGAAATCGAAGTGGACTAATTCACTGAAGTTTATTGCGATCTTTCTTCGAGATACTATCGACTGACTGTAACCACCACCTCATATACTTAGTATTTCTTCAAGTTTATAAGCACATCTGCTGTAGCTGTTAAACGCTAAGATTTTTGACTATTTCGTCGATTCACACGTTAACGAATGTCCAAATATACAATCGTGTTTTATTTAAATAGATTATAAATTTAGAACGAAATTACAGAATTTGATGATGATGATGATGATGATGATGATGATGATGATGATGATGATGATGATGATGATGATGATGATGATGATGATGATGATGATGATGATGATGATGATGATGATGATGATGATGATGATGATGATGATGATGATGATGATGATGATGATGATGATGATGATGATGAAGCTGTATAATTCGTAAATTGATGTTGATGAGTAATAAAATCATTGTTTAGGCAAATATAATTCATGTGGCCGTATATCACACCAATCTGTAGTGTAACGCCTGGCAGCAGACGATTGAGAAGATCGAATTGAAGCCAACAGGAATGTAAACAGAGAGCAATTATAATAGCAATAGAATTGAAACAATCATAAATCATAAAGAAGACAACTAACGGAGATGTGCAAGTACTTTACTTTATGTATGGTTTTTATATTTTAAGAACGCACACTCCAATTTCGCATTAAACTATAAATTGGTCTGCTCCACCTGAATTCTTCGTTCACTGCACACAGTCTACTATTGCGTCAACTTTCATGATTATGACTGTTATTTACTAAATCGATAAGTAGTCTAACGCATATTTGTGTACTTTCAAGAGTGAACTATTTTGTATAAAGCATAATATACATTAAACTGAAGGAAATTTTTATGCCTTTCATGTATAAATCAACTATGTTTTGTTCTATCTAGATCGTGCACTTTAGAAGTATTCATTCTGATGGTAAATATTTGACTTCCGTTTGTTTTCCTTGGAACGTTCTTCAACTTGTCTAGTTTTATTCAAATCGAATGTGATGCTTTGTTTTGAGATGATGGTGTAGAGAAATGAAAATAAGATTATTAAGTCCATTTGACATTGCTCAAAAGTCTAAAACATCTTCACAGTTAATAATATCCAATTCAAAGTTCATAATGATAAGGGAATAGATACCAAGAACTATTTACAAATTACAGCATCTATAAGATAAACAACATCGAACAAAGTGAACTGCCTTTCCGTCTGTCTATATAAATACAAGATAGTTGTTAAATGTCACAATATATTTTCACTTACAGTGATTGATGTGAATACATCTATAACAAGACAACTATAGACGACGATCTGACTGAGGAAACGTCGAATTAAAACAAGAATAAAAGCAGACACGTTTTTAATATTGGTGATACATTGGGCTAATTAGACACTTGCCAAACGATAAGTGCATGTGACTGGCTAAGAAATGGCTTATGTTTTTAAGGAATAAGACATACGTCATTGAGGCCTTAATGTTCCATGAATCATATATGCATAAATGAGTATAAATACGTCCTCGATGCTGTTCTATCAATAAACTCTGTTTTCTCTTTCAGTCTTTTCATTCGAGTAAGTCGGTTGGCTGGTTTGTAGGAAGACTTCAAACTAACATCAGCTTTCGGATACTGCATCTCATAACAGTCTGAAATTCATGTCACACAATAATCAGTAAGTAGATTGGAATTAACTGAGTTCAAAATGTCAGTGGGAAAATGATCAGTAACGACAAGGTCACATATCAAGTGAGTGAGGTAAGTGAATAATATCAACATGCCACCTCAATAACAGCACACCGTTATAAGCAATAAACCGTACTCGAGTCATTTGTTGACAGATTAATTCATTATTGGGCACTCTTAGATAATATCTTGTCGATAAACTTTTCTTAAATTTATCAGGAAGATGTTTGATTTTTAAGTACAATTCACTTAGAGGAAATTAAATGAAAATCCTGTATTCTTTCATTCTTTCTTGTTTGAGGTATTAATGTTGAAGTGTTGTGGTCTTCTCGCTGTCCGATCTGTCTAGTTGCCACACATCCTGTATTATGTGAGAAGGAACTTCGTAAACCGTTGTAACTAGAAAGCGCCGTATTCATCACAATTAACAAAATTGTTTCCCCATGAAATTACTAAGGAAGACAATAAAAGTCTCAGTATTAGACCATTTCAGTTCGAGGCAGGCAACATCTCAGTGAAGTGTCCACTTTATTGGTTGATTGGAATAGCCTTGTAACGTTTAGTTATTTTGAAGAGTATAAGCTGTAGTTATGGATTTTTTAACCCACCTGATGAATGAACTTCCCTCATGATTGTAAGTTTTGCGTTTTCTTTGATAAGTGGACACTGACTGAAACTCCTTCTCTCATTTTTTGTTTACTTTCAATGTAGATACAACAAAAACAACGACATTTCGTGGAGTTCGGAAATATTGTCAATAGCGAACATTTACGTCAACATCGACGTAGTTGTATGGCATTACCGCCAACACCATAATCTTTATTCAATGTAAAAGCACCGATACGTTTAATCGGTGAAATCATTTACTAAATCTAAGAACTTTATCACATTTTTTTGTGTGTATGTGTGCATCGCACTGGTTTTTAACTTTCACCAAATTCATAGACACAGAATTAGTGATTACTCCTCTTACCTCACTGAAGCGATTGCCATTTCTGTGTTGATCTCCTCGGAAATCAGTTGGTAGATCTAAGAACTTTATCACATTTTTTTCGTCACTTACGGAAGGCACGACGCTAATTTCTACCTCCTATCTACAAATAATTGTGCTTAAAGCAATAAGTCCGTTTCATAGATCCCGATGGAACAATGAGAAGACGGAGGCTATCTAGAAATTTGATGTGTTTGCGCTATACATTTCGAACAATCTGGTCACAAATACTTGTCAAGGCATGTTAATACGAAATTAAAAACGAAAATTAAATGAAAGTTTAAGTGAAAAAGGTAACAAATAGAAGATAAATAATTCTACATAGTATGGAAAAAATAAGACATTTTCGCGTTATCCTAGGCCATAGAATGACGTAAGGAGTACGAATGTAAATTCAAGGTTACGACAAATTGTTTTTGTACATATAAGGGAGGTTTAAATTTACGTATAAATAAGCTTCAATAAACTTCAGAATTCGTTCTTGACAATTATTGAAACCTTTAATTCTTATGAGATTTTCGCCAGGATCGATCACATTTTTCACGTCATGGATCATTTATCACATCTATGGCTTATTCTATATCATTCATTTTTGTGGATATGTTTGGCTATCGCGTGTCATATGTTTCCAACATATTTGTTAGCTGCATGTTCACCGAGAAACCTGCAAACGTCTGTGTAAATTGGTGGTCTGGCAACACGCGCCCGCGCAGAAATCTGCACGCTGATAAAGACATAATCGAAACTACCGCAACTCTGGCAACAGTCAGCAACTCTGTCCTTCACATGAATTAGTATTCATATTTACGGTATTAGGAGCTTAAGTTCTCAATACGCAACATATTTTCGTTCTTAACAGCAGCAATCATCATTCCCATACTTGTTCAACGACAGTCTGTCTCGAATTTCAGTCATGATCTGTCTATTCAACCATCCTTTCATTATTGTCTATATACATATCAGATATTTGACACCATATTACTAGCCGATCAGTAACGAATATGTTCATTTCATGTATTTGTTCACATGTATAACAGCATGCTGCACCATACATTACTCATAAATATTATTCGATTACTGTCATTATTACTCTATTCCCGCCACACTCTATAGCAGAAAATAGAGTTTAGTGCTAGTCTCTCAAGTATACAGACATGTTCCTCACAACTAAGTCATTTTCTCTCCTCTATCATAAACAATGATATGTATTGGTATTTTTCTCATGCCTTACTACGATTTGACAACAAATGAGGTCACGTGCATATCGCTCAAATGAGAAAACCATTCTGGGCTTCAAAACCGAAAAGGAATATGACTCCTAAAATCTCATCGCCGTAGTCACTATTCTGCTCTTCTGGTCGTTCTACTAATACACTCAACAATAACATGATGCCATCTATTTACGACACAAACAACAAAGTACACTAAAATCTAATTTAACTAATATCATCAATTGCAGTACAGCAATGAATATCATCCATCAATGCTGTTGTCGTTTTTGAGCTTCATTATTTTAATCCTATGGGACTGGAGACAACTGTCAAATAATATCAGAGTGAGAATTTTGAATACGAACGTCAAGACAGCTCAACAATACGGAACTAAAACGTAGAGATCATCAAAAGTTTGCAAGTATTTATAAACAGTTGTTTTTGCAAGATGTTCAACATCCTATGGTCGTATCCCATCAGCAACAGCCTACTGTAGAAGACGACGAATCAAATTCAGTTGAAGGAGAAATTGGGAGAAGACGTTGGAAAGGGAAAGGACAAATATTACGGAAATCACCAAACTGCATGACGAGACAAGCCTCAACTTGGAATCCTGAAAGCAAGTGAAAATAGTTAGGGTCGAAGAAGACACTACGTTGGGAACAGAGAAGCAGATATGAAATGGATGAATAGCAACTACGAAGAACTGAAAAGGATTTCCCAGGACAGGGTTGGATGGAGAGTGCCGGGGAACGGGATATTAGCCATAAGTAAGTAAGTAAGTAAGTAAATACATTCCGTACGTTTAATATTTTGCTCATAATGGCATGCTATCATTGTCGATGTTGATAGAATTTTACGATATTCATGTATTTCTTAATCTACAGGAGTATGACACTTTCATAAAATAGACACACTCCACAAATGACAGTTTACTCCATCAGATAAGATACAAATATTTTCTCTACATATTGGTCACATAATACTTCTGTGTTATTTTCGAAAGCAGACATACGTTCAAACAAAAGTACTATTTTATACAACGGTGCTATGTGGTGGTAGTTGCTGTGTTAAGCACATATACCTTATTCACCATTAAAGTGGCAAGCACATCAACAAAGTCAAGCGATATAATTGTAATAAAAAAAACAAGACGCCAAAGCACAACCACCAAAATGGTTGCACACAGAAGGAAATGAAGTTTTTCAAAAGGTAGATGTCATTAGTTCGATCGCTCTTACTTTTTCTTCACAAAATGGGGGAAACTCATATTAACGGCGTACATTTAGGAACAGAATTTTAAAAAATGACAATTCTCTCCGATTTTTGGATTGAATATACCAGTACATCAAGTTCTATCATTTCTGCTACATCCTATAGCATTTACAAAGTAAAGATTATTATTCTCTAATCTCAGCGCGAATTATCTGACCATTCTCTTATTAAAATTATGTTTCCGTTGACCTCAGTTGTTTACAGAAATATCAATGATTATACTTTGTTGTCGTTTATCACCGCTATCCATCTCATTGATCAAATAATATGGTATTCTATATTCTGTATTATGTA